TGCACGCCCAGGAGTACCTCGGCGCCCAGCTCGGCGGCCTGGAGGAGGCTCTGCGGGCTGCCCGGGCGCAGCGCGACCAGCTGGGCAAGGAGGCGGCCCAGCGCGCACAGGAGGTCAAGGCGCTTAAGGAGGAGTGCCACAGGAGGAAGAAGATGATCAGCTCCCAGCAGCAGATGATGCTGGAAGCCCGAGCCACCTACCACCAGGTAAGGGGGGGGATTCTGGCAGCCTGGACGCCCGGCCCTCGCGGGGCGGAGGTGGCAGAGCAGCCCTGTGTTCTGCTGGGGGGGGCTGGGGCTGCCGGGACCTGTGGCCCAGCAGAAAGGGAGTGCATTGACTGCAGGTGCTTTGCTTCTCATCTGTGTTCCACAGACGTTTGGGAGAATGCTGCGTCCTCTTTGACAAGTCCTCTTTTCACTAACAAGCGCTCTGTGCTCTTGGATTTGCTTTGATACGTCTGAAGCGTCAGATATACACACCTAGGCAACCTGCGACAAACGTGTCACTGTTTTTTGTTGCCGCCCTTCCTCGGGTATCAACTACATAGTCAAAAAACGCGCAGGGCCAGTACACGAGAACTGGTGCTAAGCAGTAACTTGCCCATTGTGAGGTGTCACTTTCCTGCAGTCGTGTTCTCCAGGCACAGAATTTCTACTTGCACGTGTGACTCGGAAGTGACTGAGGCATGATGGTAACGAGCCTCACTGAATGAAGTAGCTTATCCCTAACTCCACAGCAGTCTGTTCCATAGGGGTCTTCCTTAGGAGCATTAGTTCTGACTCCCTGTGTCATGGCGTTCTGGATTTTTGGGAGGTGGCTTTTTTTGTTTGTTTGGGTGTAATAGTTTGGTTTGAATATTTTTCAGCTTCAGCATTTTTCATCATGTTTCCAGAATGCAGACTGCAGCATCAAATGTTGCCTGTGCACTGAACAGAGACTCGGCATAATTTCAGGATAGCTCTTGTGTCTCTATGTTTAAGGTTATAATTTTCTTCCTTTTGATTCTTGGGATACTAGTAGTCCCGATCGTTGAAATTCTCCTTAATCATGGAATAGTTGCAATAGAGAACCAATGCAAGTTTTCTTATAGTATGTACAGTCTTATCCCACACTATAACACCAGTTTCAGCAGGCTGGCAAAGTTTAAGACATCAGCTAAGTTGACTCAAGCATTTCTGTAAGGGAAAAGATACCTTATGCCTCCAGAGCAGAGCTATATACATATAGTGGACTTCATGGGAACTTTCTCTCAGTGCATTCATTTTGAGTTTTAGTCTTAAGGACAAGCTGCTGATGTTGAATTGTTTTTAAAAGTCTTTATGCAGCTTACAGAGCAGCTTGTTACGTGTTACAAAAGAAAACTGATAGCATGCATAATTTAATGTGTAAAGTTAAGTAGTTCTTCTACTGTGATTGCCACTTAAAATTTACCAGGTTTTCCTGAAATATTTGTAGGATACAACTGCCTCAGTGGAAGCTGATAAACATGGTAGAGATCTTGACTTACTACTAATGGTCTGTTCAGTGGCATTTGCAATAAAGCAGAGATTGAAAGCTGTTTCCCACTTTTTATTTCATAGAAAGTAAACGTCTGCCCTCTCTCCTTTTTTCCTCTCTGTTAGTAAATTCTTGTCTCTACAGGTTACTGACATGGGAAGAGGTAGTTCAGGGAGTGATGTTGAACAGTTCTATTTTCCTACAGAGTTTTCAGGATTCTGAGTGTGAATGCCAGAGAAATGAAACTCTTCCTAGGGTTTGTAAATGCAGGGCAGCAGTGTGACCAGTAAGCAATAATTGTGTATTTACTTATCTGTACCATGATCATGACTGATCTGCAGTGCCAGCTATTCGCTGGTGTTCCTGAAAAGGCAGTTCAGTTTTTGTCCCCTTAAAGCCTTGGGTGTTTAGCAAACAATTTGTCTTTTTTAGTGGAGGTACACGTTAATGAAACCATGCATTGGAATTCAGATTGAATGCCTTTAACCCCCCACCAATATAAGTTCAACCATAAAATACTACTCTTAAATGGTATTAGTACCTACAAGTCATACATTTAAGACTCACTGGTCAATACCTTCATCTGAGGAACATAAATAATTTTAAATAACAACTTTTCATCTTATATTCTCATGCACAGTGTAGGCATAATATGCACATTGTATGTAACACTGTGAAAGGTAGTTGGAAGAACGATGTTACATAATTCAAAACCTAAATATTCCCTGTGCTAGTTCTGTGTCTTGCAGTAAGAGCTTTCCTTCACTACCAGCAGGTCAAACTGGCATGATATTTGTGCTTGAATGGATAACGTTATTTCACAGCCAATTTCATTTCATAAATCATGTGCAATCTGTTACATTGTGAGCTCCTCTTGGTTGGCAGCAATGCTTTGCTGCCATACTGAATCTCTTTATTTTGGTTTTATGTTAGCACTTTTTTTGCATTTGTCCAACAAAATTTGTCTTAATAATTCATGGCCTTAGGGTTGTCTGACATACATGTTTAATGGGATACCTGACTATCAGTGGCAGTATTTTAAATATTAGATGAAATCTGGGAATTTGATTATGCTGACAAGATTTCAAATCCGTTAAGTCAGTCTCTTACAGTTGTCTCACACTGGTAAGGGAAAAGGACTTAGCTGGGTAATAGTCGTTTATTAAAATACATTCATTTGGAAAAAGTATGAGAAAGGTAATGAGCAACCCTGCCTAAATTGAGGAGGGGCTTTGATTCACAGTTTTACCAGTATGTTGCAAAATCTGTAGTTCATAGAATCACAGAATGATTTGTGTTGGAAGGGACCTTAAAGATCATTTAGTTCCAGCCCCCCCCTGCCATGGGCAGGGACACCTCGCACTAGACCAGGTTGCTCAAAGCCCCATCCACTGTGGCCTTGAACACTTGCAGGAGGAGGGCAGCTACAAATTCCCTGGGCTACCTTGTGAAAGTGTCTCACCACCCTCCTAGTGAAGAATTTCTTCCTAATGTCTAACCTAGATCTCCACTTTCCAGTTTGAAACCATTCCCCCTCATCCTGTCACTACATGTCCTTGCAAAAAGCCCCTCTCCAGCTTTCCTGTAGCCCCTTCAGGCACTGGAAGGCTGCTGTAAGGTCTCCCTAGAGCCTTCTCTTCTCCAGGCTGAACAAACCCAACTCTTTCAGCCCCAGATGTAGCTTCTGTCCTTGTTCTTAGCCCTCTGTTTTTAATATTCTGGACATTAGTGGAATATACTTTGAACGTGAACTAAAACCAATATTTTAAAATGGGTCGGATCCAGATTTTACTTTAAATTATTACTTAAAAAATAATACATAAATTCTACGAGAAGTAATTTTAACAGTTTTATGCTTCTGAAGGATGCTAGATAGCATACTGATGTATGTACCTTTTCTTTCAAAATTGTGTATTGTTGCCTTAATTTGGTTGAAATGCTTGAGTTTTTTACTTATCTATAGGTCTTCTTGCATTGTCATCTTACAACTCACTTATGTATGCTCTTAACTCATTTTGTTGGGTTTGTTTGTTTTTTTCCTGACTGTGGTGCTCTCCTTTGCTGTGATACAAGAGCTTTAGAATAGAACAAATCATCCTCGTTGGAAGGGACCTTGAATTAAAGATCAAGTCTGACCAGAACCTAAATCCCCCTGCCATAACCTGGTTTACCCATTCAGTGTCACTAAGCACTATATCTACATTTCTTTAAAATACTTCCAAGGATGGTGACTCCACCACCTCCCTGGGCAGCCTGTCTCACTGTCCAACCTGAACTGCTAGCTGGCTGGAGTCAGTGTGTATTTTGCTGAAGAGTGTTGTCTTACTTTTTTATTATACTTCTGTACCAACCTATTATATCTGTTCTCTGTAGTTTGTGTATGAATTTGAACTTGTTGGCCAGACACTTTTTGTTCAGAGCTTGTATGGAGCCTGGCACAGGGACATTCTTGCCCATGACCATCACTGCAAGACATTAAATAACACAAATGCATTAAACAACTTTACAGAAATGTGTTACTGTGGGAATTTTAGTAATTATTCTTGTGAGATGGAATTTATTAAAGTTACCTTCTTTTGACATTTGAACAAAATGTAGTAACTCGTTAAAAACCTTAACCACGATGCTTACCAAACAGATGTTAATAATAATAACTGAAATGTTTTTATCTGTTTTTTGTAGTGTCAGTTTTGTGAAAAGGCTTTTATGACCTATTTCTTTTTACAAGGCCACATGCAGAGACGTCATCCAGAAGAGTGTCAGATTGGTATGTGCTTTAATGTTATTTTAAAAAATTAAGATAAATAGTTCAGAAAAGTGTAAATATAGTGAGGATGGGTACTCTGTGACTTTGTGTTGCTGGGAAGAATGATTTTCATCTTCCATTTTTAGGTGGCAAATACCAACTTGTGCAACCAACACTGCAACCAACACTGGCTGACAAAATGTATTGGGTGACATGTATAGTTTCTAGAAAATAATTTTTAAAAAAATTGTATGTCATCTTTACAATACCTTTTCAAACTAGCATTCCTG